TCTTTCTTTTTCACAGTTTACGGCACCTGGGAGCACCCGATGAAGGGTTGGGTTGGCAATGCCAATTCCGGTCACCTTGGCTACTTGGCCGGTTTCGTTAAGGGCCTCTTTCGCACGATGTGCGGTCGCGCAGCATCTGTCATCGATATCATTCCTTGCGATTTTGTGATCAGTTCTTCCCTAGTTATGGGCTGGTATGTGGGCACACATCCCATCGAACAACCCGAAGTGATACACTGCACATCGGGCGAGTTAAATCCACTGACACTCAGTGAATTCTGCGTCATTATGAACGAAAGCGTGAAACGGCATCCACCGAATAATTTCGTCTGGAAACCGCATACAAAATTGCGTAATGGCTGGCGCTATAATCTCTTCTTCTATCTGTTTCACATACTACCTGCGATTGCTTACGGTGTACCGGAAAAACTATTCGGCGTTGGCATGCCACAGCATACGTAAGTGTGAAGCGGTGGAGAGAGTTGAATACATTTGCCAATATTTTGTTGTGTTTTTTTCTCCCTTTTTTTCTGTGTTTAGCGCTCTCGAGTACATGCGCGTCTTCCACAAGGGCACCAAAGCGTTCGACTACTTCCTAGACAAAGATTTTCGCTATTCACTCAAAAATGCTTTACGCATAATGTCACTAATGCATGAGAGCGATAAGAAACGTTACAACTTCGATTCTAGTCAGTGCGATTGGTCTGAGTTCATAGATCGTTGCTTGATCGGTGTGCGCCGTTTCTACTTCAAGGAGGCGGCAGAGACCACAGAATGGCATCACATGTATTGGACAGTGTTAGTATGAAATTTTGAACAAAGAAATGTATACTATTTATTATAATTAATTTCTCTCTCTCTCTCTCTCTCTCTATTTTTGTTCTTCTTCGCCTCGCAGTTTCAATATCATACACTATGCTGGCTTCGCGGTACTCTTTCTCTTTATCTTTGTCATTTGCGGTTTGCTTTTCGGCCTGACCATCGGACTTGCGCTGGCGCTAGCCATTTGGGGCTTTCTGGTGTGGCTATAAGCGTAGGCAGTGCGATGATTTAGGGCGAACGTATTGTTCCAACAACACTCGCTTTAGCCGCAAATTCACCTCACCACAGCAAAACAAATTAGCATTTTAGTTTAAAATTTTATTTTTTAATCAATTTTTTTCGATCAAACGCGACGCTGTCTGCGTCATTTTCTGTATAAATAATTATTAAAAACAACAACTAGTACAAGTCATTGTTAGACGAGAAAGGGAAATAAGATACTTGCAAGCCTATACACAAAATAAAAATATATGTGCGTATATCTATGTATATTTTTAAGAAAGAATATAAAAAAAAAATTATACAAATATTCTACTTTAGTTAAGTAAGTACAGAATTTTGTGAAAAAACACACATTTTATTATAAGATTTTTGTGTTGCACGTAGACCGGGTAAGCGATGTTTTTCAGGAAATATTATTTTAAAAAAAAAATCTTAATATATAGTACGTCATGAAAAGCAAACCAATATATTTGAGAAAACTTTTAAGATAAAAAGTTTACGAATATTTTGAAAAATGCATATGCTTGTACACTTGACTTCTGTTTCTAGCGTTAGCTCCAAGCATTTTAGTCACTTTTAGTGTGCATATGTAAATACAATATAATTTTTAAGTTCCCAATAATTAAAAAAAATGCAATATGTATGTATATGTGTATATGTGTACGTAATTATTTGAATATTTAGTTTAAGTACACAAAAAAATGTATATTGTGCAATTTATTGAGTAATAAATATCTTATTATGGACAGACCAAAGAGGTTGCGTTTTTGCTTAAACAGTAGGGTGGTAATTAAAATATCACCGTCTAAATTTAGTATCCCCCCTTTATCTCATTTTATAAACAAAATAAAGACGATTTTTAAAGGTCATTTCCAGGTTTTGAATAAATTTAAATAAATTAAAAAAATTAAACTTATTCATATAAATTCCAAAACTCGCTGAGTTATAGTTGGTAGAAATAAACAATTTTGTAAAATTTTTGCGATTTAAAATAAGTTGAATTTTTCAAACTTTTTTTATTTTGCACGTAAAACATTATATTTATTTTTAAGGTTCAAGCAAAAGTATATTAAAATTCTATATAACCACCGAAATGGCTAGATAAAATTTATGTGAAACAGAATAAACCATTTTCTACTGTAACCATTAAAATTATTTTTCTCAAGAAAAACAAAAAATTTATATAAAAACACCCAGAAATTTTCTTCTATTGACAAATTTTTTGAATCCGTAAACCGTAACTGGTAACCTCGTAAACTTACTTAATTTTGTATAGAAAACCAGTTTACTGTAAATTTTTCTGTTTTTTGGAGGTATAATTTTTTTTTTTTAGCTTAAATGGTAGGAATACTATTATTCACTACAAAACGAAAGATTTCTAACTTAAACCTACCTTCCTTCAACAGACATACTCATTATATTTCCTCTTTTGCTATATAAGTATTTGGGAGTCATTCTTACACCGAACTTGAAGTGGAAAATAAACAATTTAAAAATATATATGGTGCACTGTATTCTTGCAATAAAGTGCTGGGATGTACAAGGCGGTGATCCGCCTAATTATGGCAACGGAAGCTCTGAGAGTCATCCGTCGTATGCCACCTAATAATCTCTTTATACAAGAACGTTCGTCAGAAATCTGACAACATCTGTCCTTCGCTTCTCTTCAAGAAAAACTTCGACATAATATTTTCATCAGGGAAGGAATGAAAATATTCTGTTTTGACTGACGGCTTCGAAGCATATATTTTTTGTGGCGTAGAGGCGATTATTTTTTTAGCCGACCTCCAAATTGAAAAGTCTACACGACTACCGAATTCGGCAAGTGGTTTTTAGGCAGAAGTTTTTGCCGTCAAAGCAGGAACCAGCATTGCTATCTTCCCAGATAGCCAGGCGGCGATTAAGGCTCTGCAAGTATCACCTCCAGCATAATAAAATAATGCAAAGAGTACGTTACGGCTTTAGCTTATGTTTATGCATATCGCTAGCTAAGAGTGAAAAGTTGGTAAGTCTACTTTTTGTGAAAACTCATGTATCGATTTAGAAATCAAGAAAAATTAAAAATGCATCGTTTTCAAAAGGATACAAAGGTACTACATACATACATATCTAGATTTATTTCTTCCCGTTTATATTCAATGTAAGGCAAATTTGGTAAGTGCAAAAGAGGCGCCGAAAATTCTTTAAGTCCGAAATAATACGAATTCCTTTAATTTACATCGAATCTTACTGATTCATATGGAGTTTTGATTTGCTTTAAACACGCAAAATTTTGTATTTAAATTTTAGGAAAATATTTGAAAAAAATGGCTAAGAGTATTTTTATTCTCTCCCGATTATTCTTTATTTATCTCTTTCCGAGTGCAATATTAAATTATTCTATTGGTAGGTTCTTCTGGGAAAATAAAACAACATAGCTTATGCTTTTGGCAAATAATTAAGCTTGTTTGAATTTAACGGCTATACGACAACTGCCAGAATTAACAGATGGTTTTAACAGACGCCTAAACGTATGCAATATTCTTATATCCACATATGAAAGAGCAGTGTTGCAGCTTTTAGTAGTTGGTGCAGATAAAATTCTTACAACGTACAGAAGAGATATAAAATAATGGAAAAATATGTACATATGTAACAAAACAAAATGTATTTGGAATTTCCTGCTGTATGAACTTATGCAATACAAATTAGCTAGATTTATGTAGGTAAAACTTCAAATGCGAAAATGGAGTAAAAGATAAGCTAAATTTTTTATGGAATCTAAAAATATAATTAAATTAACATTTAATATTTTACATTCAGGGGTTGATTGTATTTAAAACTTGAAAACTAATTAGGATTGAATAACTAAAAATCAAAATCAGAAGAAGATTCAAAAAACTAGGTAAAAAAGTCAAATAAATGTTTATTACAAATGCCTAACAAAACAACTTTAAGTAAAAACTATTTTTTTATTTAAATTTCATATGGAAACTGACAAAAATAATCATTTTTCACTTAAACTCTTTCGCGACAATGCTTTATTAACATAAATAAATTTTCTTTTAAATTTGCAAAAATTTCCAAGCAAAATAACAAAGCCAACCAAAAATATGTATCTCGGTAAAACCCCATAGGGCCGTTTTCTCAAGTAGGTTTTGAACTTATCTGCCCTTTAAACACAAATTTTTGAAGGGCAAATATATATTATAAAAAAGTCTAATTTAAAATTAACGAAGTCCAAAATTCTATTTTTTTTAGTAGTTTTAAGCATAAAAGATTCGTAAAAATTCTATACGAATATGAAAAGTAAATTTAAATAAAACTAATAATAATGGATTTTAAATTAAGTAAAATATTTAATAGTTCAGTAAACTTGAAAAAGCCTCGCAAACCTTTAAAAGTGCGAAACTTTTGCTGAGCTGTCAAATGTCTATGAAGAACATTTTCAACATTTTGAAGTTACTGGATTCATATACATGTATATACATTTATGTATATTTTGCTTATAGTTATTGGCCTTTGATTTTTAAGTTATGAAAAATTTTTGACAAGCTCGAAGTCCAGTAATTTAATAAAACTCAATCTGGAATCGAAATATTGACAATTAAAAATATTAATGGTAATATAAGTTTTGTTAAATTGCTGTATTATATAAAAAAAAATATAACAAAAATTTTAACTCTGAATAAATTGTCAAAATTTCGAATTTTAGGTTTAAAGTTTTCTAAGTTTAAGATAATTTGCTAACAATTTTTATATATTTAGTAAAATTTATTTGGGCTTGCATATTGCCAATTAAAAAATGTTACAACTTCAACTAAAAAAACGAAAGAAAAATAGAATAAATATTTAATTTTGTCCAGAAAAAAATTGTCTCTACTTTTTTCTACTACTAAAACTTCGTAGCTAAAAAAACTTTTCACCACCAAACCGGCCAAAAATTGTCTGCTACTAAAACTTCGCCACAGCCATTTGCGCCGATTCAGTTCAACTTTGGCCGCGAGACGCGTTGGTTTGCTCTTTCTTATCGGACGCTGAGCAAATATTTGTAGCTTGACGCACAGTGAAAATATTATTGTGGCTTATTTGCATTGCCGCAGTGTAGATAAAATTACAGAAAAGAGGTAAAAAATAAGATACACATAAATACATTGCACAAAAACATAAAGTAATTCAGACTCGGCGTATAAGAAATAAAAAAGAAGTGCAGTTGAAATCGCTTGACGTAAAGGTCGCAAATACCTTAAATTTGTCTGCTTTTTGTGCTTAATTTTGCTATACAGTTCGTTGTGTTGTTTTTTTTTGCCCCTTGTATTTGTTGAGTTACTATAATTTTTGTTGTTGTCTGCTGTGCGCCGGTTTGTATTAGTGTGGGGCGTCGCATCGCAGCGCAGCGCGTATTTGCCCATTTGATTCACACCGCTGATATAGCCGCGTCGCAGCGGCAGCGCAACAACAAGAACAAAAGTGAATAAACAAAAAAGCGGCGAACTATGAAGTTTTTATGGAATGGTGATCCAAAAAATAAAAGTGCGCGCACATAGAAGAATCCTCTTTCGGCGTGCTTAGAAAATACTTGATTTCGTTTTTAGGTTCATTTCGGAGACGTGCAAATTTACGATTTGGATTGCATACTAAGTACATACAAAAAAGACGATATTTGCTAAGTAAAAGCGGATCAGTAGAGGCAACAGCGCAAAAATGGCCGAGTAAGTATTAAATATTAATTTTTGAATTTCTCTGTTTCTTTGTATTAGTTATCTTAAGTATTTTCTGTTGTTCTCGTTTTCATTATTTGGGGATGGGCACCAGTGTTGCCGCATCAAAATTATTTTTTTTTTACCAAAATGCCAACACAAAATCTACCGAACATTGAAGACCACTCCAACTGTTATGAATTAAACCGATTTTCAAAGAAAAAACACCACAATTTGAAATTCTACTACAAGAAAGGCACGGTTTAAAAACAAACTTTAATTTTTATGTGTCAGAAAGATTGTTTCCCCCAAAAACTGGACGAGTTAGAAAAATTTTGTAAATGCACTTCAAATCTATAAGATGAGATCGGCGCCGTTTTTTGAGATAAAATACGACCAGATTTTGTTGAACCGTGCTATCGTGCGATTCTAAATCATCCACGAAACCAGAGTAAATCCTTAAAATATAAACACTTCGGGAAAAGATTTCTGCCTGAAATTATAAGAAATGACATTTTGAACTTTAAAAAAGCTTTTTCTGACATAGCTTTAATGTGCCCGGTGCGACTAGCAGGAAACTCTTTTTTAATTGAGCGCTACACCCTTGTCAAGGTTTATTCCACCTTCTAGTGTGAAAAGTTCTTTAGATCAATTAAAAATCTGACCGGAATTGATGACCAGAAAAAGTGTTGTACTCCATTCTGGCAACGCCTAACCACAGGCAAAAACTAAGAACGCTTGGTTTGGAAGTTTTGTTACATCTAAAGGGTGTTTTTTTAGACATGTGGTTTCAATGGGGCAATACTTTTTTCGGAGTTGATCTTGCTGTTACTTAATTTACACTCAGTTTGGTTTGCCATTTCATAATGAACAGACTTACTCCGGAACACTGTAGAACCATGATTAATAACTTTTTCGTACTTGAATTGGAGGATGTTGGTGTGGACGACCTTTTGTTCCAACAAGACGGCGCTACATGCCATACAACCCACGAAACAATCAATTTATTGAAGGAATCTTTTGGTGAGCGTATTATCTCGCATCGTGGGCCTGTGGCGTGGCCTCCAAGATCGTGCGATTTAACACCGCTGGACTATATTTTGTGGGGTTATGGGAAGTCGCTTGTCTACGCAGATAAGCCCGAGGCGATTGACGCCTTGGAAGAGAGTATTCGGCGCGTTATTTCTGACATACGGTCCCAATTGCTGCAAAAAGTGGTCAAAAATTGAGCCTCTCGACTGGAATTTATTAGAGCCAGCCGCTGCGGTGTCTTGCCCGAATTCATTTTTAAAACATAATGGCAAACCCTTATCTTTATAATAAAGCTAAATACTTGGCCATAACATTAAAATAAATGCGTTTTATTTCTTCTTGAAAACCACATGTCTAAAAAAACACCCTTTATAATATAACTCAGACCTTGTTCCATTTGTTTCATATATTTTCCGGTCTCTATAGAACTCCATTAAAGGAGCTGAATTGACTGTACAAAAAGCCAATTTAAATCGTTTGAAAAAGTTTTCATCCCAGAGGTCTACAGAGGGAGGCTTTGTGATTTTGATTTTAAAACGCCAGAGCTTTTTCTCAATAAAAAATTGTTTAACGCTCTCTTTATCTTAATCCAATAGTTTAAATAAACTCGTAATATAAATAATTTGTTTGACAGTTAAACCTTTTCGCATAGGTATTCATATAAAATGTGTTAGCCTTATTCTACTTAGACTTGAAATTAATGAAGTCCGAAAAATCTTCTAGCGAAATCTACCAAATGGCAAACGAATCTGCTAAAATAAAAATTTAATAATTATACTAAATTTGGTAGAATTCTACCATAATGGCAACACTGATGGGCACGGCACATGTCTTAATTTTTTCTCTGCTTCCTTCCTTTTTGTTTATTTCAGCGTTTGTTTTCGTTGACCAGTGCGCTTGTGGGCGGTTAATGAGCTAGTCGTATGTCATATTTGGTAATTACAACTCTGGCAAGTTTTGTTCTGTTTTTTTTTTTAATTAATTACAATGCTTGCTGTTAAGTGGCTATTTTCGGTAAACAGTTGTTTTCAGTACATTTCCATGTCTGCTAGCAACCGATTCTCGACTGCATAGCCTTCTAGGCCACTGCGACGATCTTTTGTTGCACTGCAATGCGTCAAGGTCGGTCAAAACTGGCTGACGAGAAGATCACACGGATAGGGTTGAGCTAAAGAGAATGCCGTAATTTAACAAAAAAAAAGTCATGAAAAACAACCATTCGTGCTGAAATAAAAATCAATCGAATTTTTGTTGCGTACGTACAAATGTAGATTTTTATGTAAATAAGTAATTGCAATGTATCCAGTTTTTTCATTCCTTGAACTCAGTTATGGCCGCTAATTGGCGCTGTTATTTTTATATGTATGTATGTATGTACAGTGACGAGCAAAATTGTAACATGATGTAACACTTTTTATTTCAGCCACCGCTATCTTTCAAAGTTCTAACGACTTTCATACTTTTGTTGTATATTCTTATTGGTACACCCCTACTCCCGCTCTCATAACGATTTGAGGTCAATCCAACAACAATAAAAAAACCTGGAGACANTATGTTACAGTTTTGCTCGTCACTGTATGTATGTATGTATGTGAACATACTGCACATGTTTGAATCGGGTGATAATTGATTGTGAGCTAACTAAAGGCGCGAAGATCGAGGGAAAGTGAGTTTAAAATATGCGACCAAAGATCTGCGGAATGCAAATACATGTGGTTAATTTAGAGCGGATGTATGATCAGGTGATTTAGCAAGCTGCTGTGATCAAAGGCGTGACGTAATGAGAAAAAAAAATGTTCTACATTTCGGGATTGATTGCATGTCAACAACAATTTAAGTCAATGTTGCTTTATCACAGCAAGGAGCCTAATCGTCTTGCTCACGACATCCCTGGCAACCCGCTTTACCACTTGGCTCAACAAGGACAAGCTGTAGTAGTTGGGCATTCATATCGACTGTGAAAAACTGTAAATTTCTAGAGGTTACTTTTGACAGCCTACTGGCATAACCACAATCGTCAATAAAGTACACCACTGCAAAAAAGTTCTCAAATCGCTCGCCGATAGCATTTGGGACAAAGGCAAAAAACTTTTGTAACATGCAAGCCTATTATTAGCGGGCGTTTCCAAACTAGGCAACGCCAGTTTGGTCAGCAGCACGCAGTGGACGAAGCTACAAACATACCACAACTCGGCAATCCCGGACAGTTAGGGGATGCAGAGCTAAGCGCATATGCTCCCAGTAAGGGAACATACCTTAATTCTTAGTAAACAGTTCATAGTCGGCCGTTGCGAATGCAATAACCGGAACATGATCTTATTGGGGGCAGTACCTCATCCTAGGCACTTCAGAAGGTAGGCATATCTGTGAGCTGAAGGACGAGATATCAAACTACGAACAACAACCGATAGACCCAACGCTGTATCGACAGGCAATCAACGAAATTCTAACCGTTACTGAGCTCAACTACCATCCACTGCAAAGGAAGAGCTTCAACAGCCTCGAGAGACCAGCGTTACCCTAGCACAATAGGAAAATTAACTCCTACTTGACAAAACTCGACTCTGACGTACCTAAAGTATATCACACCGTATGCCACCAGCCAACTCTTTACAGCTAAAACCCGTTCGGCTTAGACCCTTCTTCCTTGAGGTCGGCACCTCGAAATACGCTTAAAGTATCTACCTTAGTTGTGTTTCACGACAATGATTTATAGATTAGCTGATCTACAAGAGCAAGGCTTAGTAGCCGTCATAGCAAGCACAAGTAAATTTGTCTTTGGGAAAGTAACTTCAGAAAGGTGTTAAAAAGAAAGATTAATTAAAAAAGCGATTTAATTAGGTGCCCTGAGGAAAGTTAATACAAATTATTAAAACCCAACAAAGCTCTAAAATATCGTGTTACTTCGAATAGATATCCCTTCAATTTTGTGGCTGTTGAATCAATTCCTATTACAAATTAGTTTGAATAAAAGCTCTGCTCGGAAAGGTGGCCCCCTCAATTATCGCAAATTAGTATTTCTATCCTCTTTCAATCATGTTCCAATATAATTTTTTCCCCCAAAATGCAATGTCACTGAATGAACTTTTCATTTTCTAAGCAACAAAGTACTTAACCTGTTAACTATAAATAACTTCGAAAAGGTGACACTAAAGCGACATATATACATACATATGTATAAAAGCGCGCATATGCGGGTATAGTCTATTAGACTCATTAGTTACTTAGTTCCTATTTCGTGTTGCACGCGTCGTTTTGCGACAAAAATTCACTCGAAGCTACATTTATTTACGGGTCCGCAATGCTTTAGAAAATTTATTTAAAATAATCAGTTAGTGCAGTGCTTTTTGTAATGCTCAAACTGTGTTTAAAAATTTGGATTGACTGTCTCTACTTTTTTTATTTTTGTTTATAAGAAGTGAGTCCACCAAGTCGTTAAAATAAGTCTTTCAACGTTCAAATTTATCTTGTCTAAAAGCATACCAAAATAACATATTTTTAAATTAATTTGGATTTGTTGACTAACATAACAAGTTCGCATAACAAGATATAAACGGGACAGCTCAACAGATAAGCACTTTGTGTTTAATTAATTTTTTTTAAGGGTGGCCAAATTAGACAAAAAAGAAATTATTAAATGACTCATGGCTATATTTGAAGCGTTTTTGCAATTTTCAGAAGTGGAATAACAATTAGGAACATTTCTTCGCCTCCGCGTAGAGATAAATTGCATCCGAACTCGATAAAATACGCTGCAGCTATATTTTGGCACAATCACTATAAGTAATGACATCTGCCATAATACAGTGGTGGAAAAATAAAAGGTACAAGACATTAACAAATTTTGCCTATTTTTCCTTTGCTCATTATTTAATAAAACCATATAAATTCATATTTCAAACGGTGTGCAAAAATTACAAAAATTCTGCCAAATTGCATCTAAATTTTCTACTTTTTAATCAGACTTTTTTTTAGAATCT